AAATGACTATGAAAAAGCAACATATCACTGCATTTAGTTTTACAACATTTCGTCATACTCTATAATCTCATTTTACGAGTTAGTTTTTTGCTAGAAACACTCATTGTTTTTTCTATTATTTGTTTCTTTTCCTAAAATGATGAATTACGATGACGAAATCGAACCGATTTCTAGCGTTTCGGATCGTCCATGGTGACTGTTTTCTTAAAAAAAATGCCAAAGTAAATTAGTATGTCCTAATCTTTTGCTGAAGGACACTTCTCATTATCCTATTCAGACAGGCATTGAGCGACAGTTGGACATGTTGAAACAAAAAAAAAGGATCAAATGAACATTGATTGGTATGAAACATAGTTGAAAAACTTGCAACACAAAAAAAACACAGCCTTGAAGTTTCAGGTGTAAAAGTGAAATTGAAACTAATTAATTAGAATTAATAATGTCACGTGAAAGGCATAGTTAATTTATATCAGTAGGACAGATGCAGAATAGAAGTTTACAAATTAGAATCAAGTACATCTGCTTCTTCTAAATAAGTGATATTTGTTACGAATGTCTTATCAAGTTCCGCAAATATATACTACGATTGAAATACGTTTTGAAAGATTTGACACTTTTCGATAGTTAAGTTTATTTATAACCACATAAGAACCTTTTGATCTGTAAAAATGTAATAAATAGACGATAATGTAGTTTATAATGACATATATACTTGAGAAAAACAATCCATTCTTTTAATAATCTTGAGATTGATGATCGATTTGTGCCTATAATTTTGATTTTACATCTACTTCTTAGTTCATTGAAATAAAATCTTTGATTGGTAGAATCTGTTATTCATTTATTATAAATGTTTTGAATTAATTTTTGTTTCGATCAGATTTCGCTCGAGTAAGTTTCGTAGATTATACTCATGTCAGTACATTGAATTCCAATCTTTCGTGTGTCATTAATAACATTTTTCTTTGGTTCATTGATGATGAACTTTTATGAGTCAATTTATTGTATAAATCTCACATTCTATTGTACTTTTTCATTTTTATACAAATGTATGATATTTGAACATGTATATTTAGATCAAATAAAACTTGACCACATATAATCATTATGTTCGATTATATAAAATACTGTATCCTTCTTAGTATAGCTGTTTACGTCTAGAGAAGACTTCAAACTCATGGGCACGGAATAGGTATTTTTATTTTTGTTTTATGCACTGTTATTAATTTTTACAATCTCATGCACTATGTACGTACGAGAAAGTCTGCTTTTGCCATCACAATGCAAAATAATTTAATATATTATATAGGAGAATGCAAAATTGGAAGAAAGCTGAAAATTGATCGAGATTCAGACTGATGAGTTTGGATTTTGATAAGGTGGGATGATGCTATTTCACATCATAAGTTACTTTTGTAATTCTTATATGTATCTGAAACGATTGTACTTCAGATAGAGATGAAGGATGTGGGTGTACATATTCGTTTCATCCAAAATCCATATTCACACTCTCTGAAGACCGACAAATAAACAAAATATTTATTGAATCATCGACGAAGTAGCATTTTCGTGACTTATACGATGTAATATCAATAAGCAGCTTTTGAACGCTACTTCATTCATGAAATCCAAAATTAAATTATTTAGCAAAAAAATGGAGACACGTAACAATTCAAATAAAAAAAGCCGTATAAGAAATACTTACAATTTCAAGTTGTATACATATCTATTAGGTAAAGGAAGAAAATTTTTTGAAAGAAGAATTTGTTTGTATCTACTTAATATACAGAGCACCTATTCCACGAAGAAGTAACATACTAATAGTCGTCTAGTTCAGTAGACGCAATATTGTTCACGCTTTGATTGCAAATTCATTGTTTTGCATGACTAATTATGAGACAAGTAACGAACGTCATCGTCGTTCAAGTAAGTTAGATATATAATCGGTGGTCAGAAATGATGTTTACACGAAGAAAAGTTGTATTTAATGCACTTACACCGATAGATATAATCTTCGTCATGTCACTATAACTGTTTGAAAACCGTTCGTTAAGCATGATTTGCTGAATTAGTGCTCTTCTGCTCGAGTTCTTTCTATATTTCATTCTTAAATATTTGTTAACTATTATAATACGTCAGTCTCTGAGCATAATTACGCCTGTAATAATTGTGAGCTTGCTCGCGTCATCAGTACTAATCACCATATGGACTCTTTTTTCGTTCGATTTACAAGTTCTGATTATTTACTAAAGATGACATACTAAAAGTAGTCATTACTTAAAACAATGAACAAGTAGAGAAAATGGCAGTACCATATGCTACAACGTATTACAACCGATTGAACCGGTGACTTTTAACAAGTCATGAATAACCTTTGCTTTTGGTGAAAAACGAACGACATAGGTTGATATATATGTGGCGTGGGACACTGGTATGTGTTTCGTCATCATAAGAAGTCCATGAACTCAACGCAGAGAACATGTACGATACTGTACTCGTGCATGACGAACAGATGTTGTAGAGTGCATTGATGCCATTGAGTTATTATTCCAGCGGTTCATTTTTTTCAAACTGAGCGTCTGTTGCGTTTGATGCTATTGATTCACATACCTTCTTATCGCTTTTTTTAAATAAAACCATATCTGTCACCATCTTGTACCACTTTGGTTTCTTTCTAAGACGGCGTTTTTCTTAAAGATACAGGACAATGCGCTCAACATTGTTCTTATCGATCGATAGAATTCTTTCTTTTTTGAAAGATTTTTGAAGGTATGAAAGTTAAGCAATGTATTAATAGGAACATACGTATGTTTTAATCTTATTTCAATATGAAAACACTAGTTACATCACGTGAGTCAAGCATTTTACTTATTGGCAAGATTTATAAAAATATGTATCCGTTATAATATAGATATTTAAAGACACTAGCTAAAAATTACATATCAGAACCTATTAAAAACCTCATTAGAGTTGATGTTGATTGAGTCTCAATATCGAAATCAGGTTAGCAATGATAAAGAGTTGAGAAATAGGAATTTCTAAGCTGTGGAGGAACTATCGACTGATCTATGATAATTCTTCAAGAAAACGAGAATTGACCATTACTTTCCTCATAGTTCCGACATTCATAATAGCTAAAATGATGCTTTTTCTGCAATAGTGTTTATATCCACATATTCATGTTCACAATTTCCTTGATTGATACAGATGCGAGAGCAAAAAAGATCGCCAATATTATGTTTTTTTAATTTTGATGTAACCCTACCCACGTGTGCTTTGACACAAATGTGTAGTCATCATTTGAAAAATCAAGGTAGATCATTAGCGGTTATCAGTTAACTATGTATATATTATTTTTCAAAAACGGAACGTCTTATAGGGTAAAATAACACAAAATTCTAGTAGATACTTTTATAGATCTGTTCAAAGGTGTTACAATTTCTAAGGTTATTGTTATTAAATATGTTTACACGTAAAACAATCAGCACAGAAGAAAAGAAAACAATAGAATGAATTGTTCAGTATACTGTAACATTTTTGATACGGTTTAATTCAGATGAAGATTTCTGGATGCTAGAGATGATAATGAATCTGCTGATATATTTTGTTCATCTAAATGTGTGTTTTTTATGTAAACTTCAATGAGCAAGTTGTGTTACACACTTTTTATAATGAGTGTGCTCATGAATGATGTTCACAAGCATGAACTATAGTTGTCTATATTGTTGCTATAAGTTATGATACTTTTGTTGTTGTAGTTGCTTTTACTAAAGAATTTTCATTTATTATTCTTTCAATAGAACAGTGAATTTCGAACTCTCTAGAATAAAATTAAAACCTTGAATTTTAGTCTTGCAAAAATTCCCTTTTTAGTAAATTATACTACGTATTGTAGAAAATTTTAACAAAGTATTATATTCATCATTTTTTAAAATTTATTTAGATCATTAAATAAAGAAAACTTTTTTATACAAAAAAAAAAAAGATTTCAAAAAAATCAACCAATCAATTCAAGTTCGTACAGATCAACTCGTACTATTTATTGAATCGATGTATTTACTGCAATTAATTACGACAAATTCATCATATGATATTTTTTGACATAAGAGGCTTAGTTTTATCAAGTTCAATAAAACAGAGAATGTCTAATATTCATTTTTTATATTTTGCAATTTATGTACTTCAATAGTATGACATTTTCAAAGTGCGTAAAGAAAATTCTAATAGTTAGACTCAGAATAAAATGTTTTTTTTTATCACCATTTAACAACAAATGCAAAGTAAGTTTTCAATATAATAGTAGTTATTGGCACTGTCAGTCGAAAAAGAAACATGTGTTCTATTTGAATGTAACAGAATACCTTTTGAAAATTTAAATACGACAGATGCTTTTTTTTAGATTTGTAAGCGAACACTACATTTAATTTAAATTTGAACACTCACACAAAAATGGCTTGATCTTTAAAAAAAACAATACCCATGAAACAGTAGAAAATTCAACTCTTTACTTTTGAAACACTTCGTAATTAAATATATTTGAATATATCATGAAACCCCTTTTCTTTTAAAAATTCTTAGTATCATCAGTCAAGATTAGTTACTATCAATGGATTTATCTGTCACAAGAAGACTGTTTTCGTCATCAATGTCATGATTCATTAATTAAAATAATTGCTTTTCAAAATTAATTAGTCATTAGATACGACTTTTAATATTGAATGTACTTAAATTATATTCATCATCTAGCGATTAATTAAGAAAAACAATTATGATTGCTTCAAATTTTATTATATTATTTTACATTTTGAAGTTACAATCGATTTGAATACACATCAGTTCAACTATTTTTTTATCTTTTAATATTACAATACACAATCGTAGATAAATATGTGAGAAAAATAAAATGAAAGTAAACAAAGAAAGACAATACAATAGACTATCATTTACATAGAGATTATAATTCAATTAGATTACTTTTATGATTTCAAGAATCACTCGATCTATGCAGTATTTCTACAGATCATATTTAATGGCAAACAATGTAATAATTTGTTGCACATTAGCTTCTTCAATTCACGTCTGAATAACGGTGATGATAAAGTATAAATAAAAAATGTTAAAGAAAATTCAAGATAAATCGATGAATAACTCATATTATTGATAAATAATTCTACTGCTAAACGAACAGATGACTTCGTATCATTGATTGTCATTGTTCTATAGAGAAGATAACAAGGATTGAGCATGTTCAAAATAATCCAAAGACATATTTGATTAAATAACATTTTAGAAAGTTGTAAATCTTTTTTTGATATTCTATTAAATTGTAACGATGCAGTAACATCAACTACTTGTATTGGTCTTATATTTCTCTTGCTTCGTCGAATATTATTGAGTGTAAGAAGTCCAAAAATAAGCATCATCAATGGTGGAATTATTCCACTTTCAATCAATAAATAGATACAAAAGAATATGCTATAAATACCTTTTCTAAATGAGCAATCACCATTTTGAATTTCATAGAAAATTGGAATGTGAATGTATATTATACACCAAAATAAAACATTGCCAATAATCAATCGTATTGCAATTTTAGGTGTACTCCATCGACGCCAGTGCATATCAGAAGAACTAGCCAAATAACGATCAATCGATGCCAAAATAATAAAATAACGTGGTATACCAACAAAAACATAGAAAAAATAATAGCGAATTTTACAAAACCAAACAACAATATTGATTGTTTGAATATTGTAACCATATTGAAGCATTCTTGTAAAAAGAGGAAAATTAAAGGTTAGAAATTGTGAAATACTAGAAGCTAGAAAATACATGACACATGAATTATGGCGTAGAGTTGATTGACAAAAAACCAAGCAACTCATAGTTGATCCAAAATTTCCTATGAGCCAAATAACACCCATTCCATATCTTGCAATACTTTGATTGAGAAAAATGAAGAAGGTATACCAACAATTTGAATCATCAAATGTAGTAGAATTGGTAATGTTCGACATTGCAATGAATCTGTTAATTATCTATCAGTAAAGAAACACACGTTATGCAAGATAATCTTTAAGATTTTTCTCGAGTTATAACTCTTTTGATATTTTCTTGATAAAAAATATTCTTCTCTATAGTAAAATAACACCATCTGAATGAGACGTTAATGTGTATCAGAAAAGATAAAGAATGTGATGACGTATTTAAAAAGTAAATCCTTTCGTGGGACGTCGGAAACCTTATCGAAGTTATGCTACTAGCAATAAAATTAAGATAGTTAAAAATAAGGATTAAATCATATGTTTACCGAAATTTTTTCAACATATGGTGAGATTCATCACTCAATCTTGTGAATAAAAGTTTGAGTTTTCCAAAAAAAAAAAGTATTTATCAATATACTTTAGGTTACATGTATGATAGAATATGTGAAAATAGTGAAGTTTTGTATTTGACGAGTGCAAGAAATATCAAAAAGGTAATTTTTGATAATTTACTAATTTTATTCCGAAAGCTTTTACCTTCAATTTAACTATCTTTAGGAAAATAATGAATGTTCTCTGAATTCTAAAACAATATCGCGTTCATTTACTACAAACTCTAAAGAAAATAACCAAAATATGATTATTCATTATCAATCATTGTTTGAAACTCTCTTGTCTTAAATGCATACACGATAATTTTTCTTCGAAGTTTTATTCTGAAAAAAAGAAAATTATTGGAAATAGGCGTTAATATATTGAAAAGAAATAAATCTTCTATTAAACAAATCCTTTGATTCTTTTGACTTCGAGACACTTTTATAGTCTATTGAATAATTTTACATACATACAATTTTATTAGATCTTACGACTATCATGAATATGGATAGAATTTATTTTTCGTATCTCAATTATAGAGAAAAAGAAAATGAAGACAAAATATACAATACGTCGATATTGTTAACATTTCTGTAATCAGCTATATCGTCTTGTAGATCATTAAAGTTTTATTGAAAACACTTGTGCTGAGCAATTACTAATGAAATCGAATCCTCTAAGTATATAGATAATCTGTTTTTAGCAGGTTAAACAAACTTAATTATTGGTATGTAAATTAAACATATTTATGTTAAAATAGAACAATGAGTAATATTATGCAGTGAAATATTCTCTTAAGAATCATAATAAAATTATTAGGTAACTGTAAATAGTCGAACTTAATGTAGTGATGGCAATTATTTCTATTGATGTATATGAATCTGATGTTACAAATACTAGAGATGTATCAAATCTATTGAACACGGTGTAGCTAAAAACATGGTTATAACATAATGCTTTCTATTTATATAATTTTCTACTAAAATGTATAAAAATCAACACCGCATTGAATATGTTTACTTCGAATATGAAATGAAAGCAATGTTCGGTATTCAGTCCTAGAAAATTGATTACATATATAGACTAAAATGAGCTTGTTATGAATAAAATATTATATGAACTGTTGAAATATCAACAACAATACTGTATCATTTTGATAATTGACCTGAATTTCCATATCCATACAATAGATTGATCTATTCATGGAAAATAAACAAATATATTTCATTTTTTGACTGTAATTTTATAAACGAAAGACAACTCACTATCATTTGAAAGTCCTAAAAATTATCAGTTCCATGGAATAGATCTAGTTTTCAAGATATCATTGAATGTTCAAGAAGTGTTCATTCAGAATGTTTTTCTATGCGATTTGATAACTTATTTGAATATTCAATATTTCAGGCAGGAAAAACATTGAATTGAGCTAAATTTCTTCGAGCATTCAAATAGTTTTGAGACCTGTCCATGAGCCAGATTTTATCTCAACAGTTCGTTATGCAATCTTTCATCAAAGTCATACACAAGAAAAGAACATTCTGTAAAATAATCATGACTTCAGGTACATCTGACAAGGCAACGAATCTTTTAAGACCTCTACTAGTCTAATTGCCTTCATATAATTTGCAAAATATTAGATCTGTCAGCATGTTAAACTTGACAACGTTCTATCATGAATATTCAATTTGTATTTTATTGAACAATATTTTAGATTAATATTTTTGCTATGAGGGAATTTATTTCCTGTTCCATGTCTTTATTGAAAAACCAAAAACTATGAAAAATAATCATACAAAAAAAAAAGTTTTCCCAGCATCTATCAGATTATTTCTTTCCTTTCTTTCCAGCCGAACCTTTACCTTTGGCTGGAGCTGCAGTTGCTTTTGCTTTTTCAGCTGCTGCTATTAATTCTTGTTCTTGAGCAGCTAATTCAGCAAGTCGTTTACGTTCAACTTCAAGAAAACGTTGTCGAAATGCTTCACGAGGTTCATTAATTGTACGACGGGATTGATCAATTCTTGCTTGTAAATCAACATATTCTTCTAATTGACGAATTTTTTCTTTATATCGATTATGATGATCTTCTTCACGATATTGACGAATTTCTTCGGCATATTTAGCATATTCAAGAAATTCAGTTTGACGACGACGTAAATCTTCTTGTTCAAATAAAGGATCTAATACAACTGGTTCATCAGAAAGCATTTTTTGTCTAAACAAAAATAAAAAGAATAGATTTCTTGTATCTTATATTTTGAAATATTATGAATTACTTGACAAAAGATTTAACATCAAGTGGTGGTAAAATAATTTTAGGTTTAGCTGGTGGTGGTTGCTCAAGAAGAGGTTCATCAACTACTGGTGGTGGTAATGTAAGTTCTTGTTGCGCTGCTGTTAATTCAGCTTGTTTAGATGCATCTTCTTTAGCTGCACCTTTTTTATTTCCTGTTGATGAAGCACTTTTCTTTGCTGTTGATCCTGCTGCAGCTGGTGTTTGTTTAGCAACATGTTGTTGTTCAGTTGCTGCAACAGTTGAAGGAGTTGCACTAGTTGTAGTAGATGGTTCTTCACCAGCACGACTTTCAGGACGTTTTGTTGTACCATCTAGTGTACCTGATGATGGATGGTCTTCGACTTTTGGTTGTAAAGAATCAAGAAATTTTTGTCTTGCTTTCATGGCTTTTTGAGCTCGACCAGCTTCAAATGTTTCCCATGCTTTCTTCATATTAATTAATTCTTCATTTCGTTCTGTATCTTTTTTAATGGTTAATTCATCCTATTCGAAAAATAGTCAAACATATAAGTTTAGTTCTATAGAATTTATGATAATTTTCATACCGCTTTATCTGCATCGGATACTACACGTAATATCCAATGAGGTTTGCTTGTATCGATTGTTTTTTCTGCACTTGCTTTACCTGTACCCGGTCGACCTGATGTTGTCGTGCCAGTTTTACCTGTACCACCACCAGCTGCAGCACCTTTTCCTTTTCCAGCTGTGGCTGCTGTACTTGTATTTGCTTGTCCAGCTCGTTTACCACCTGCACCTGCTCCACCTGCTGTGGTTCCATCCGCTTTTGTTGCTGATGGTTGTCGATTAAAAACTATGTTCAAACAGATCAATAAAACTATTAGAAACAGAAAACAAAAGAAATAATCTTATTACTTTTTAATTCATTCTTTTCTTGTTCTTTTAATTGTTCAACAAATTGCCATTGAGTTGGTGTCAATGGCCATGTTTTACGAAGAACTGTTGCTTGAATAACATATTTATGAAACTAAACAAATTATTACATTAGATATATATATAAAAAGAGACATAAGTTTGAACCAGCTGTATTTTTAAGCTTTTTTTCGTGAGGATAATTACTAGCAAGAGTATGAAGAAACATTTGTGTAATGAAAAGGATTCTTTGTCAGAATTGGTAGATCAGAGAGCTCCAACAAAACTACTGTGATGAAAGTCTATGCAAAATCGAAACTTTCCAAGCCAGCTTTCTAGTTTCCATCTGAAGCTTTTAGGATCAAATAATACAACTCCGATCTCTCGATAATCTTCCTTCATTGGATTGCATTAAAATTATAGAAGTTTCCAAAGTATTAAACATGATATAAACATTGCAATTTTCAATTAAAAAAAAAAAATAGAGAAAAATGCTTCTTGAACTTTCTTTAAATAATATAAAGTCATCTCTCTAAATCATCTAATGGAAGTTAGCAAGGTGGCTTTTAAGCTCTTGATTTTTCGCAGACTTTCATTCGAACAGTTTTGATGAAGTCTTCGGGTCTACTAATCCTAATGGAAAATCAATTCAGCTACACAAATGTTTGTTTTGTCAGATTCTTGCTAGCTATGATCATCAAATAGAAAACTTAAAAATACAATTACTCTAAACTGTTGTTCGCTACTATGTATATCAATCAGTGTCCAATCTAAGATACGAGTGCACATTAGTTGAAACTGGGATTGAACAAAACTTTGAGATTAAAACTCATTTTTATCCCTGAAATCGTTGTTGGATTCAGAACTTTTGATTTACGAGCAACAACAAATTGATGATATTTACTGTTATAATACTCGGTTCAAAAGTCAAAGTTAGATTGAACAAGTTTGAAGTGGTTTTATGTATAAATAGAAACTCCATGAGAAGTTTTTGTTTTTTTATAACTATTTAAATCCGAAAATGATTTTTGCTCGATCCAAGTTTGGAATAGTTCAAATTCGAATATTAGATTAGACGGTGCGATATATATTGAAAAAAAATTATTTATATTATTACTTTTTCTTCTTCATCTGTAAAAATGCCTGTTCGACTACTTGATCTCTAAAATATAACAATAGGATATTATTCAAATGAAAACAAAGACAAAAAGATTCATCTGTGAGAATGGAAGGGATTTTATAACATGCAGGAAATAAAGTTATTGCAAAATAACAAAATAAAAAACAATAAATTCATTCACTAGAAAATTTTTTTTTCTATGCATTAACTAAATGAAGATGAATGTAAAACAAAATATTTATATCTATTGAATAAATATTATTATCTTAACTTACACTTCTCTTGTCACTTCCACTTTTATCTTTATCCGATCGAGCACTACCTATAGTTGATGGTTCAACAACACTTCCTCGATGTGTAGTACCACCAGCACCCTTAGTAGAATCTTTTTTAATTGCTCCTTTAAAAGAAGAAAAACAAAATATAATATCTCTAATATTGATATTCATATGATCAAATAACCTCCTGTTTTTGATTGTGGTCTTGACAATGGTTGAGTTGGTGGTGCCTGCACGACACTACTTGCTACATTGGTAACATCTCGCATAAATAAAAATGCTGGTAAAACAACACTGCCTTTGCCTTCAACACTAACAACTTCATCATTATTATTTAATACAGTTAAACGTATTAAAACATCAGATTTTGATGTACTAAATTGAATACTAGCCAAATGAAAATTACGACCAGTTTGATTAACATCATCAGCAATAGTTACACGATATCTTTAAGAATTTTTTATTTTAGTTTATTTCTTTTCTAAAAAAAAAAACAAAAAAAAAAACATTTTACCTGCATATAGTTTGTTGTTTATTTGGAACATAATAATCTTTAATTTCTTTTGTAATAAATGATGATGTTATTTGATCAACACGTGGTTCAGGTAAATGTGTATAAGATGTTAATAGACGTAGACGAAAACGACCACTTGTTATTGGTTGATCAAGTGATATTCCTTCAGCAAAAAATGTATAACCCAACTATGAATTAATACAAAAACAAAACAAATTTTTTTTTTTTTTGTTAATAAAATATTTAATTTTACTTTATTTTTTGTAAATATTGATGGTGCTAATCGATTAAAGATAAGTGTCATTTCTTCATATGTATCATTATTAATAACACGTAATAGTGAATTTTGTACATGCGCAAGAAATTTACCAGAAATAAAACCTTCTTCAATAACATAAAAAATTTCTCTAGAAGAAAAAAAAAAACAAACAGGAAATCTTCTTTTTATGTAAAAGTAATCGTATAATATACCGAAATAGAGTAAACCAAGTATTTGCTGGTTGTTCTGAATATTGTCCAAGATAATCTCGATATGAAACCATATTCCAATCATCATTACGAAATTGAAAACATTGTATTAATTGTGGTTTGCTTATCATTAGATTTCTTTTTACAAAAAAACAAAATATAGATTTAATTTTGAATTAAAATACAAAAATCTACCTAAAAAGAAGTAAAGCTGATTTTGTTACATCAGCTTTAAGTATAGCCATTGTTGATTGTAATGCTCGTTGTGTAAGTAAATTTTTTTCTGTACCAGGTGTACGAGCAAGTAATATACGTCGTTGTAAAAAGCCTCGAGCAACTTTTTGAATATTTATAATACATTCTATTTCATTTGATGTTAAATCATGATTGAGCCAGTCAGGTATTGATTCTTCTAAAATTTCAAATATAAAATTAATGTATATTTTTTTTTCTATGATGTTAAGTATTTAATCTCAAATTTGAATAATAGTCAATAAAGTTTTCTATCAAATATATTTCATAATGAAATTCCGTATATGAATCACCGGAAGAAGGTTGATCAGAAATCAAACAGAATAATTTTCAGATTCCAGAAGACTATGTGAAAATTAGTTTTTTTTTAAGCCTACTATCTTGAAGAACATAAAGTTTTGTATAAAAGAAGTAGTCGTCGTATGTTATACCAGAGATGGACAAAATCGCACCGCGCCTCCCCGCGCTTCCCCGCGCCGTTGCTCATACCTACGCTACACTAGTCTGAGCTTCGATGAGCGCATGCTTAGAGCATCCCGGTACTCGGTGGAGTTTGAGAAACTGATTGGTAGAGCAAAGAGAAAGAGAGATGTGCGTAGCGCCTAGGCGCGAGCAGTGGCGCGGGGAAGCGCGGGGAGGCGCGGTGCGATTTTGTCCATCTCTGTGTTATACGACTTTTCTTTAAAAAGTTATCAGCATTACGAAGAAGAGGAAACAAGCGCTTTTGTTATTTAAGTAATACTATAATGGATTTCTCTTTATGATGGTTATAACTTTCTAAGGGAAGATCAGAAGAAATACGATGATCCAATAGTATTCACAATAGAGACATTTTTACTGTACTTTAACAATTGTTAATTTTTCAAGAAAAAAAAAATGCATGAAAAAAGAGAATTAATCATGAGCAGCAACTAATAATTTTATTCACTAATACTTTTCAAACATTTAGAAAACGAGTATGTTCCTTGTCAAAGCGTTTGTTTTTTAGAAAAGATCTAATCTCCTTATAGTGAACACTTGAAAATTCTAAAGAATATTGCCTATTAAGAGATTACAGTATTTGAATTTCAGTCAAATGTTTATTATCAAATAAACAAGTCAAAATGTACGTCGGTTTAATATTTTTGACCAGAACTATATATATACATCAGTGGATGAAAAACTTACCTTGAAGTTCAGCTGTAGATAATGAAGTGCTTAATTGTGATTGTTGTTTGGTGGCAGCTTTATCATCTGAGCCTTTATCTTTTCCTCCGCCACCTTTTTTACCTGTAGCTGCTGCTCCTGTTGTTGCAGCACCAGTTCCACCTGCACCTGGTGCATTACCAGCTCGTGCTGAATTACGACTTGCACCTGAAGTACCTCAAATAAAAATATTAATACGATAATATTGACAATTAAACAATGTATAGGTTTACTAGGTCGTCCTGCTTCATACACACCCATTATATCTGGTGTTGTCAGATCATTTGTAAAACATCTCCAAGCAAATTGAGTTTCTGCACTAAGCGGTTGTCCAGATCCATTACATATTGTACGTAAAGTTGAATAAAGTGCTTGATTAAATGCATTCCAACATGTTTGAACAGTGAGATTCGATAATGGTGATGTATATTCACAATATAAGCGAAATAATTCATTAAGTTTAACATCTTGTTGATCTAGATTATTAAAATTTTGTATAGCATCATCAAATGCAAGAAATAATTCTTCAGCACGTGCTATAAATTCTGCATCTTCCTTTAAATGGATAAAAAGAAAAAGAGTTTAAAAAAAAAAAGTAAATTACAAATGTATAACATACTGGTACTGAAACAATTTTAGATAATAATTGATCTTCATCACCAAATAAAAAATCATTTGTATCAGACATAATTTGAAGATGACAAGCTAATGGACATGTAACACTAAATTTTAATACATGACGTCTAAATAAAAAATAAAGTTGTTGGTTTCTTTTTTCTTCTCATGATAAATAAATATTTTGAAATAATTTACCCTGGCGGTAATGTAAGAAAAGATGCTTTAATAGTTGTCGTATGAAGACGAAGAATAGGTTGACCCATTGAAAGTGATTTCCAAGAATAAATTTCAGCAATAAGTGAAGTTGGTTGTGGTATTATTTCTTTTTGTGACACTATTCATCGATGATATAGAAAAATAATTCCTTTTTTTTTTTTGATTTATATAAGATTCGTTACTTTCAACCATACTGCTATCTTGTAAGCTAACATGTGGACCGGGTGTTTGTGGAAGTGTTTCCAAAGTACTTGTTCGACGTCTACTTCCTGCACCTCTTATTGGACTAATTTCTGCAGATACTTTATCATTTGATGCACCTGCACCGCGACCAACTTTTTCAGTTGTTGTTGGCAACATTGAACCCAACGGACTTGCACCATCTGTTGAACCAGAATCAAGCCATCGAGATAAAGATGTTAAACTAACAATTAATTCAATATTTTTATCTAATCTTTCACGTGTACTATCAATAAATAAATATAATGGTGATTTATCATCTTGTAAATTCTATTAATAAATTATATGACAAAAAGAAAAAAAAAAATTTAATGAATATGAGACATAAGTAACTTACTGGTAATTGTTGAGTTACAGGTAGACTTGGTTCTTTTTTCTTTTCTTTTGTTGCAGAAGCAACATTTGGCTAAAAAAAAAGTAAATCTAACTATTTATTTTGCAGAAAAAAAAAACAAAGAATAGGTTATATCACAGTTTGATTCAATTATGTTTAAAGGGCAGAAGGAAAATTTCTCTAGTAGAAATTAATTGTTAAATAGGAAGGGTTCTATTGTTGAAATTAGCTTTTTGTTACCTTGTAATATTCTGTAGGATCAAATCTTAAGAAGATAAAATTTATGAAATAGCTTTTTTTCAATTTAATCTTTTTTTTTATTAAGCAAGAGCCTGTCGAAAATGATCTTAGATAAATAAAAAAGACTATATTTCAAGAAAAATCATAGAAGCTATTTGGTTTACTAATTAACAAAAAAGAAAACAAAATTTTTGATATTGTATATCTAGGTTAGCAGCGGCGCTAAGAGTTTTAGCCTGGGAAAAAGAGGACTGAACCTTTCTCAGATTGTATGTGAGAGCACCCTTAACAACAACTTTTAAAATTTTCAGGAAACTTCCGAAGATACCTCTCTTCAGCTGCACCTACTCTTGTCAATAATTTTTTCTGTCTATAGATACAATATAGTATTCTGATAAAAGCCCTAAAAAGATTTGGTGTTCTATTGATATTTGACTACGTTAGTCAATTTTTAATATGTCTACTATCTAGAAGCCTCATATTAAATATTTCACAAGTTCTGACGAAAGTCTTGACGCGATACAAAATTTTCGAAAACTGCATGTTGTACAGATAACCTGTGAAAGAGGGTCTATATTTTGAAAATCTCATAACTCAAAGAGACTTTGTTTAAAACTTCTGAATTTTTTTAAAGAAGTTAATCTTATTGAGTTCTCCATATGTACATAATTTCAGATCAAAATTCCAAAATACGAGTTCTCCGAAAACCTGGTGTTCAAAAAGCAGAAAGATTAAATGTCCGATAGCTTTGCTAAATATCAATACGAATTCATATCCTTTTAGAACTTTTATTCGAACACTATGAAGTATTTATAGGCAAAAAAAAAAGAACATTGAAATCCGAAGAAAGCAGTTGAAAAAGGTTCTCCATCCTGTGATGCTGTTACTAATCTAGCAAAGAATAAGACTAGCCTTGTTTATATTAATCCCTGTCCCAGTTTGACTAAGATCAAAAATGAAACTATTTTACCCATATCCATATATATATATGTATCACTATTTCACAAGCATTGATGCATTCAAATCTGTATTATAGGTTGGCAAAGCTGTGCTTAGATGTCATATAAATAGGTGTAAATAAAGCTTTTCCGTATCAAAACGTAATTTTAGTGAATTTGTGACACTTTTATATAAGTAGAAATTCTACAGTATAGAAAGAAACTTTTACATGAAATCGTTAAATTGACAAACAGCTTTAAATATGAATATATATAAATATATATATATATTTAAGCGATAAGCATATTAATATTCATTTTAGTCGCTCGAATACAAAAATTACCTGTTGAGATGTAAGAAACTAAAAACATATATGAAGATTATTTTCTTTTGTTTTCTTGATTATAAATAAAAGAAAGACATAAAAAAATGTTTTTATTTTACCTTAATTTCTGTATGCTTATGTGTATATTGATAACCACGAGGATTATGATAAACAACAATTGATGTAAAACATGAACAAAAATCCTCAAAATCCATCCATATTTTTGGTGTTATATAAGATTTTTTAGTTGGCTGAATTGTACGTGGATTTGAAGTAACATCATTTGTTTTTGATTGAGAATCTTGATGTTCTGTATTATCTCCAGTTCCATGAGTATCCAATGGTGTATAATGGTGTTCACTTTCAGCACCTGATCAATTTCCAAAATTAATTTCTTTTATTCAAGAAAAAAAAAAAAAAAAGAATAATCAATTCTTAACCTCGACTTTTAACAGATACGGCATCTGATTGTAATTTTGTACTTGCTAGATCCAATTTACTACCAGCTAATTTTCGATTTATCTATTATTATTATTATTATTTTATATTTATTAATTAAAACTAAAAAAAAAACGAGTAAATTTACTTTGCTTTTATCAGCTGATTTTTCACGTTTAAGTTTACTTCCTGTACCACGTACAGATTCATCAGGTGTTTCTGGTGTACCAATAGCATTTAACTAAAAAAAATAAAACGATAGTAGTAATTTTTATTCTGAACATTAAACAAAAAAAAAAGAAAAGAAGCCAATGAAAATCGAACCTCTTTATTAGGTGACATTGATTCATCTTTTTTAATTAAATTTGGACTTAAATCACCTTGAACAACGTCATTATCGATATCAGGTTTAGATTCACCACTTTCAATATCTCCTTCTTCATCTACTTCGATTATTTCAGGTACATCAGCTACAGTTGAATGTGTTGCTGAATGACTTAAACGTGATGTTGCACCAGGAGCTGGGGTATTTACATTCCTATTGATAGAATACATTTATATATAAAAATGATATTCGAATAAAAAATATTCATTTTAAAAAGAATATAAAAATCAATAAATAAGTAAAAAAAAGGAAATCAAATTTAAGCACAGCAAAAGCATATAAGAGCAAATAGAAAGCAAACAACTACAGAATATGCAGAACTTTTAACCAAATCATAGTAAACCCTACGTGAAGCAACTATCAACTGGATGAATTCGGATCGTTGGTTTTCTGTGTTAGTTGTTAAATATGCAATAAAATGATACAAAAAATAAAAGCTATCTACGTACATATTAAGAGCACTTGCAGTTGGATAATTAATATAAGGAGAAGCTATTTCAATCCAACGATCAGGTTTAGGTTCTTGAGGAACTTTAAAAGAACAAAAAAAAGTTCAAATGTCAATGTTTCATAAAATATTTTTTTTGTTTAACGAATAGTCTCACCAACTGGTTCAGCATGTGGTAAGACTTTTGTTTTTTTTGGTCGAATAAGTTTCCATGCAGGTACATATTCAGGTGGTGGCGGAGGTTCTAATGGAAGATCTCGAATACAAGTAAGCAACATTGATGTTGAAAATGTATCATTTAAATTATAACGTCTTAATCGTTCACTTCTATCTGCTGTTTCACCATAAGAACTAATACGTGTTGGTTCTAAATGAGGTATTGTAGCAAATACAATCATTTTGGGTGCTTCAGGTATTGTCTGATCCTCAGCTACAGTTCCTGGGTCATCTGCTGTACCTCCTCGACCAACACCACCTAGTTTTTTAGCATCTTTACTTGCACCAGGATTTGCACCACCTAAATTAATATGTTTTCTTTTTCTAATGTTGAATAAATATATTTTGTTTTTCATTATTACCAGCTCGAGTTTCTTTTCCTGTTGCTGATTTTGCACCAGCATCTTTTGCTGCTAAACTAGCTGGTGCACCAGCTTTTTTGGCACTTTTTTCATCAGATTTTTTGGTCAGAATTTCTGTTCCAGTATCATCTTGATGACCTAATTGATCCTTTTCAATGGAAAAAAAAATCAAGAGAAAGCATTATAAAACAAAAACGAAAGAACTTCATTTGGTATTCACATGTAATAGAGATGATTCTTCAGATGAATCAGATTTTGTATCAGGCCATTTAAATAATGGTACAGGTCCAAAAACTGGCAATGGACTTGATGGTTGTTGTTCTGTTTTATTTACTCCACTATCACCTTCACTAACAATTCTATTTGAACGATCATAACGAAGAAATTCCCATACTTTTGTAGCATGAGTATATCTTAAATAAAATAATGTTCATACAAGATGGTTCAAAAAACAAGGTAACATAGAGTTTTTTTCAATTTATTCTTAGTACATGATCAATTAGGCCTTTTAATTACACCACATATACTAGATGATACTAATCATTAATATAGCATATGATCCATTTTTGGATACAATAATTTGTTTAAAAGTGTGAATATATATATTTCACTACTTGTCTATAACTGTATGAGAAATGAGATGTGTTTCGATTTCCATAGTTTGGTCTACTTATTTCGATCTGTGAAATGAATTCCATTTCAGTTATTTTAACTTCTTTTATGCTAAACTAGACAAAATATAATTAACTCGGATTCATTTCATAGATCGAGATAAACAGACAAAACTATGGAAATTCGACAACATTGAATTTCTCTTACAGTCACAGACAAGCAATATGATTTAGTTGTAGGTTTTTGAACAAATAACTGTATCCAAAGACTGAGCATATGTTACATTTTTTTACTAATATCACTTAGTACATATGGTATAAATATAAGGCCTAAATGACCGTGTGATTAGATCTGACCAAAAGTTCTCATAACGCTACTAACAATTTTAGATATCAACTAACATTATGAAATTTGTTATACTAGTAAATAGTAGAATGTAATAAACATTATTCAGGCTTAGTTCTGATATTCTCTTCCAGATATAATCGAATTCATACTAAAAAATTTTGAAGAATGGATAATGCATTCAATCGATACTATATTAAAATTCAGAGTCATTTTTGAAAAACGTTGGTTAAATAATGCAAGTTGAATCAATGAAAATGAATCATCAACGAGTATTGCTTCTCGAAGTAGATTGAAACCCAAAATTTGGTTTTCTATATTATTTAAATCAAATGGCTTTATTCTTATAGATAGTGTAGATAAAGACAAGACTACAGATCATGACTATTATATTCAAAAATTGTCTTGAGCCTGTTGTTAATGCAATAAAGAAACAAAGAAAGTCATCAGGTGCAAAAGGTATAGAATCACTTCATGGCAATATTCGATCTCATACTCATCGAAATGTTATTAATTATTCAACACAAGAAGGTACTAATATTTTGCTACATCTACTCTTCTCACCAGACTTAGCCCCATATTCAAGATAGTTAATAATATTTCAGAAGAGTCAAAAAGCAACGGTTGACTAATCATTAGAAAGAATAAAACTTTGTATATTTATGGCGATTCCCAACTGGCCTTTCGAGGGGTATTTCGACGCCTCGATTTTGCACTGTCGATGTCTCCTAAGATACCCATCGCCGAGCCCTCGATCCATCGGAAAATGGCAATCCGAGGGGTCGATTTGAAATTCCGATGGGTATAGCTGGTGTCTCAAAATTGTACCATCATAGATGTTTCAAAGTTTCGATCTCGTGCTTCTGCTAACTATCAATGTACCTACCATCAGGCTCTGGACCCATCGGAATTTCAAATCTACCCCTCGGATTGCCATTTTCCGATGGGTCGAGGGCTCGGCGCACCCCTCGCATGTCTTTTTCGGCTCGCTTGGGTTATTGCAAAAAGATAATAAAATAAAATGACTGATATCTCTCTATTATTATGTACTTATTTAATGTTATCAGAATTTTTGGTCAATACTGTATATTAATAGTATGTTAATCATAAACGTACTTTAGTGGAATAGGTTCTGGTACCCAACCAGTAAGTGCATGAATAATACTTGTTTCATTATATTCAACATATGTACTTGATGAACGAAAACTATAATTTGAGAAACAAAAATTGAATAGGAAAAAAATGTTTCCATAAAAATATTTTTTTACTCAAGAGTAATTATTTTTAACAAAGCTTTTGATAAAAGCATAGGCCAAAGTTCATATGGTAATGATGTTTGTGGTAGAAGACATCGATTTTTAGAATCAAATGGTATTGTATCATCTATAATAAGCTTTCGCCAAGCACCCTATTTTATTAAAATAAATAATAAGTTTAATTGTATTTTTAAAGATCTTTAAATATTTGTATAAGACAAACCAAAAAGAAAAGTCGAACAACATATTTGCCTGCGGGATTGTATGGAGTAATAAATGGTTGTCTCGATACTTTATTTAATGCATATATATGTTCCTTAAAATGTAGAAAGATATTGGTGTATTTGAAGTAAATAAAGAAAAACAAACCCAAGGACGCCATGTTCGTCCATTTAGAACAGCTGGATTTGTTTCAGTTGTATATTCTGGTGTTGCATTAGCTTTTCGTTCTTGTCGACAAATATCCCATAATGCTGTAATCTGACCAATAATGTTACGCATGGTCTACATTTAAAAAACCAATGAAAGAAGATTGTCATACAAAGAAAAAGGAACTTACTTCACTATAATGTAAATGTTCATTTGGTGTGACTAAATCAAAATTTTGCATGCCAAGATCAGAATCAACAACTACTGGAGGCTATTAGATTTATTATTATAATTAATTATTTCGTTCAATTTATAGATTTCATTTTCTTACTTTATCGGATGGTAGAATATCGATTGGTCTTTTCCATTGATCGACTTTAAGTGTTGGAGGAAGTTCGATTTTACCTTCAGGATCTTCAAAACCATGTGTACTCTAGGAAAAAAATATATTAATTCTTATTGTATGTATAGATATTCTTTGTTTATATCTCATTTTCTTACAGCTGAACTAGCTGATTTTACATCGACACGAGCTTTACTTGTTCCTGCATCTTTCTTTTTTACACTTCCAATATCCCATGATTCAGCATTAACATCGGCTTCATTCCATTCTGGCCATAAGGGTAAAAAACGAGATTTTCTATTTTCTATTGGTCTAAATTATAAAAAACATAAATGAATTATAAAATTAAAACAAAAACTAATGGACCTTAATGCTTGATCACCGCGTGTATGAGCGACACTTCCACCGGCTGTCTTTGATGCTGTCGCAGTGCTCATTTCTTTTATTTTATCTTTTATTCAAACACGAAATAGATCATCGCATTCAAAAAAAAACTCTATTTTCAGAATATAAAAACTTGTTTAATCGATAGTTTAAATGAAGCTACCATTTCTAAAGAAAGTGACAAGGTGAAAACCTCAAAGATCAATTTAATTTTAATTTTAATACTAAAAATAGATGGCACTGGTTAACAGAAGAAATCCTTTGAGATCAATTTAATATGAACGAATAATGGGAAAATTTTTTAACAAAATATTTGATCACTTTTGACTCACTGGAAAATGTTTCCGATGTGTCAAAAGCAATGAGTTAGGATAATTTATTTTTAATGATGAGCCAACAAGTTTTTGTTGACCCTATAATGTCCTTTCTGAACTTGCTAAAAATTATCGAAGTCGATCGTTTTATTGAGCAGACACTTTTCTACAAAATGTGATATTCAACTATGTTTTACCTTTCATTCAAGAGCTTCTTTCAACGTAAAACAGTTGTCGATGTTTTGAAAATGAATATTTACAAAAAAAAAATGAAAATTGAGGTACGCATTTTATAGGATAGTTTCTGATCTACAAGCTAATATTTAAATAAAAATCGTAATTTTTAATTTCAAATCACAACAATGTACGAGCAAATTTTCTAACCGAAGTAATTTTTTTTTTGACTTTTTAAAGATTATTTCACTACTCTTGAACAAAAACTGAGTAGAAATTTCTAAGTTCATATTCGAAAAGAGTATCCTAACTCATAGCTTTAGATTCATTGAAAAATACTTTCTGGCGAGTCAAAAGTGAACAAACATCTCGTATAAAACTATTCTGATCATCTGCTATTTCAGAAAAAGTTTTTTTGTTTTTGATAAAATCGGCCAACTTTGTCCGGAAATATCCGTCGATTCTAGTAAGTTTTAGATGATATGAAAAACGTTTGAATTAATCATGAAAGTAGTTACTACGTAGAAAAGTGTTTATTATTTTAAGTTTTAACTTTGCATCTCTATTAGAATTTTTCTATAGTTCACAATAAAAATTAAACAAACCCAAATGATGTGTATACAATTGAGCTGCGTCGTTCAATTCTTGAGAATAATTGAGATTGTCTACGTGATTGTGCCCTTGAATATTGTCCATCATCATCGACTTTAAATTTTGAAGTATAATGAGCTAATTTACCCACAATTGAGTAACGTCTTGTTATATCTTCACGTTCCATATCTGCATACTGTTTGCAAATCGATTTGACTATTATTTTTCTATTGCGCAAAATGATTTCTCAGTTAAGAATGGAAGAAAAGAAAAAAGAAATTCGAGTAATGAAGCTTATTATGTATAATAACAGTAGGGACTTTGATAGTCGTGATCAAAATTGTAGAATATACGGAAGTTTTTTTAATCGTACGCATGCATATGTTTCATATTATTTGTATTGTATCCATAGAGTGAACTAATCATTAGTTATTTTAACTAACTTTGATAGTCATTTCATTGTTACAATAATAATTTTTTAATGGCAAGAAAAATGACAGATGTTCAATGTTGGAGAATTTTAAAACATATTACATAAAGTTTATTAGCTTAATAGACGATAATTTACATGAAATAGAAACCACCGAAAAAAAAATATCAATAATCTTCTTTTTTTTTGACTATACATACAATTAGATATAACTTCTTATATATCACTTATTATTATGGCTTATCCAATGTCAAGAATTAATTTTTACCACATTACTAATTATATGATGTTCGAGTTTGAAAGTATCCTTTATTTTTTATAAATTGATAAAATAATGATGCATTTGTCATATACAAAAAGAAAAGGTTAATAATTATATTTTATAAAAATAGAATTCAACATGGATAATACTTTAAAAAATAAATGAAAATTATCTTCAGTTCTTTTTTTTTTTTATTAATCTATAGTCGAATATCCGGAGGTATCAGTTAACTATTCACTGACTTTTACTCAATTTTTTCATATTAGTAAAACAAAATCTTAAGTAATAATTGCCAATTAGACTCCATTTTGACATATTTTACTCTACAAAACACTGTATACTCGAGGTAGACATTTTATATCCCATTTAGACTAAACCTGACTAATATTTTAATAAAAAACTAATGAATTTTTCTATTTTAGTTAGTATGACTTTTCTAATTTCTTAATCACATACTAAAAAGCACCTTCACTTCTCGATCAATTATTGATGATTTTTCAGCTTGTACAATCATTCAATTTTTTAAACATATAGTGAATTATGAAAGTCAACAGAAAGTACTCTGAGGTTCTACACAGATTGTATGATAGCGATTAATTAAAGTATCAATATTTATTTATTTAAGTCCTTATTCAAATGTATTTGTACGAAGTGAATTCAGTCATAAGAATCACGTATGGAAACCAAATTGAAATGTCATCATAACTGATACAGTTGCAGCTGCATTGGAAATTCTATTATTTACAATCACTCAATGTACAGATTTTCATATATTTGTACAGTCTCAATCGGAAACCATCAGATATACGATAAGTAAACAAAAAAAATAGTTTTATAGATAGATTTGCGCCATTCGATTTCAACAATTAGCATTGTAAGTAGAATAGAATTCAAGTAAACTTATTTTTTCATCAAATATATCAACGTTGAAGACCAATTTTTGCGTAGACAAAAATGATAATAGAATTTGTCTGGCTTGTCAATATGCTTTTTCAGTCACATTTCATATTCTATGCATTTAGTTTTTAAAATAATTATGTACCCTGCGGGTGTACCCTATTTGAAAATTAATTATAATTCATATGTACCCTATTCGAGATGTCTAGAGTTGACAATTCTATTTTAAATCAAGTATTTAAGATAAGTATAAAACATTTCTTTTTTGATTGTAATTTTCAATGTCATCACTGAATGAAAATCGATATTTAGTGTTGTGTGTAAATGTTTGAAGATCTTGTCAAGCTCATAAGTCACGAATAACTGTGATATGAGTGCCAGCACATCTGATATGTATCCATTTCATTTTTCCTATTACATTCAGATTAAGCTAAAAAGCAGTTTATACATTATTTGATAATAGACCAATCCAGATTGTAAGATCTTCCTCAACAGTTAAATATTAACCTTGCTATTTATCTTACAGTGGTGTATCAACTGAAGTCTGTATCTAAGAATATTATTCTTGTTTATTGCATGCATATGTTTCAAGATTCATATCGAAACTCGTCTATGAGAATTGCATTCATTCATTCATTTTTCCATTTCATTATGATATAATAGCTTGGGTGAATACACCAACTGTTCATTTTTGATTTTTATTTTGATAGTGTAATTGTAAATTAATGGTATGACATTGACTTAGAACAAGATTAGAAACTTCTTCTGTATTTCAACATCTAATTGATAATCATCACTTGTTATTTGTAGATCCAGAATTGTTTCGCCTTGAAAATTATCTATCTTTTGATGATGTTTTTTTAGTTCGGATTTTTGATATTAATAAATAGCAATTCGTAACAATTACTTCACTTCATAATATTTGATAATTCTATTGACGTAAATGCTATTCTTTTTTTCTTAAATACCCAATAAATTTTGATTAATAGTAATTACTTTAAGATTTGTCAAAATAGATAAAGTAGCTGTGCTTGCCCTAGTTACATGATATTCAATGAATAATGGCACGTTACTTAGTACTGAAAAAGAAAACTGTTTGACATATTTAGGATCAGTCATACTGTCATTTTCAACTTCAAGCATTATATGAAAATAGAATGATTAAATATGATTTGATAATGAAAGATATTTATTAGCTATCTAGATCGTATTCCAGGTATCAAGACCATTTTTAGCAACAAATGATTGAAGATAAATGCACAAGTATAAAAAAAAATATCAATGCTATCATCAATTATTTCCATAAAACATAATTAATTTTCAATTATCTTGAATATCTTTTCGCAATTTATTAGCTACTTTTAAATGTATCATCATTCTATTATGTACATATGATATGAAATAATAAACGAAAAAAGATACCTAAACGCTGAAGACGCCCCAATTGAAAAGAAGGCTGGTAATTGAGTAATATTTTGTGCACATTGTGCATAACTGAATATCCGTTTTCTAAAATTGTTCTGTCTCAATAACAATTATCATATTTCAAATAAATCGTACTGTCAGATGCATACATATGAGAATCTTTTATTCCATAGCCAAATGATTAGGTTGACTAGTACATGTCTTCTATTCAGTATCTGATGCGCCTATAGCATTAACAAGTAAATAACTTAGATAAGTTTGACTATTAGAATTCAATAATATCTTGATCATCTCAAGTTAGAATTCAGAAATCATTCAAATTTGCCATCGTAAGTCAAAGATATCTCATAAAGATAAATAACAAAACAACAAATCATATTGATTTTCAACTGCTTCAATATCAATAAGTAATACACTAATTAACTGCTGTTTATTAAATTTTGTTTTTGATACAGTTATAATAAAAATGATTTCTAATGTTTCATCTTTGAATAAATAAACCATAAAAAAAACTAATAGATAAAATTTGAATGTCTCATCTGTTTGAGATGTCGTCCCAAATCCCGTTATCTAGTTCATAAGAAAATTCAATGAAAAATAACAAGCATACAAAACTTGAAATTATCATCTTCTAGTATTAGTAGATTAGTATAAACTTAAAGCAACTTAATATAAGAACATTGTCGTTTTATTCCTCATTCTATTGATAAAATTGTGTGCAACAAACATCTTAATTATATTTGCGTTACTATCTTGATTTAGAATAGAATTGTGTTTATATACCTTGATACATTTTTCACGTGTAACATATCTTTTAGATTTGTATTCAATGGATAATTTATTATTCAATTAGTGTAGAACAAAAAATGTTTCTCTTTGATCAAATTCTTTATACTATTGTATATATCGTTTATAGATAATTGACTATTAATATTTATTTTCTTGATTCTTTATTCTTTT